CCCTCTGCAGCCTGCCCACCTTCCCCTGCCAAGGAGCTGTCTCCCGGCCCCGTGCTCTTTCCTGCTCCGTTTGTCCAGCCCTGACGTGCCCCCGAGCCCCCTCTACCTTGGCACTCCGGCAGTGCCAGCTCCGGGCGGCGGGATGCGGGCGAGACCTTCACGCTGGGCAGCGCCACAGGCTTTACATAACGGTGGTGGCTGGGGGGGCCCCCCGCTCCCCGCCCCATCCCCAGCTGCCCTCCTAAACACCCCTGCTCGCCTGTCAGTGCCTGTCTCCAGAAGGGGAAACTGAGGCACAGAGCTGAGAGCTGCGGGCAGGGCAGTGGAGGTGGGCAGACGTCATGGATGGAGGCTCTGGGGCTGGACTGGTGCCATGCTGCGGGCAAGGGAGCGGAGTGGTCCCATGGGGTGGGCTGCGGGACGGGTGGCTGAGCAAGGGGACGGTCCCACCTGGGGACCCTTGTGGGGCTGTCGGAATTGGGGTGAGGACTACAGGGCATTGTGTGCTGAGCAGGCAGAAGGGAGAAGTCCAGCTGTGGTGATGCGTGGCCAGGCATCGCTGTCATCCCTGGGTGCCTGTCCCTGTGCTGCCGCCGGCACTGGTGCTGAGCCTGACTCCAGCATGCCCAGTGGATGCGGGACTTGTGGGACCCCAGGCCAGCCCTTCCAGTGCTCCTGCCCAGAGCCGGACCCCTGTTGCTACCCTCTTGCAGAGCCCAAGGAGAGCCCGCAGCGAGCCCAGCCGCCTCCCCGCCATGGATGCCACGGACATGCCCCTCCAAGCTGAGATGGTGGAGCTGGTGCCCAACGGGAAGCACGCGGCCGCACTCACTGCCTCCGCCATCCCCTCACTGGCAGGCGACAGGTAGGGCCCTGGGACAAGCAAGGGTGCCAGGGGCTTGTGGGGTCCTCCCAGCTGCTCCCTGCCCTTGTGATGCCAGCCGGTGCTGCCTCCATGGATGCCACGGACATGCCCCTCCAAGCTGAGATGGTGGAGCTGGTGCCCAACGGGAAGCACGCGGCCGCACTCACTGCCTCCGCCATCCCCTCACTGGCAGGCGACAGGTAGGGCCCTGGGACAAGCAAGGGTGCCAGGGGCTTGTGGGGTCCTCCCAGCTGCTCCCTGCCCTTGTGATGCCAGCCGGTGCTGCCTGGGCACGGGCAGGAGGGGCTCTGCTTCGACCTCACCCCCTCCCTCTGGCGGCCAGGTTTGAGGAGAACCAGTCTGGTGCGGCAGAGATGGAGGAGTTCCTGCCCCATGGTGCTGAGAAGAAGCAGACGCACTTCACCGATGTGAGTGTTGGCGTGGGCACTGTGGTGGAGGTGGGATGGGGGTAGCTTTCAGTGCTACCAGTGCATCCCCTCCCCATTGTGTCCTGTGCGTGCAGTTTGAAGGGAAGACGTCTTTTGGGATGTCCGTCTTCAACCTGAGCAACGCCATCATGGGCAGCGGAATCCTGGGGCTGGCCTATGCCATGGCCAACACCGGCATCATCCTCTTCCTGTGAGCGCTGTGCACCCGTGGGGACTTGGGTGGGGGGGCCTGCGTGTGGGGGGCTCCTCCAAGGGGAGGGTGCCGGGGTGCAGGCAGGAAAGGGGTCCCTGGCTTGGGGTGATGCAGGGACTGGTGTCCCGCTGCCTGAGCAATGCCCGTCCCTGGCATGGGCCTGTCTGCCCCTGCCGGGTGCTGTGACCCACTGGGGAGGAGGATGAAGGCTTGACTTCCTTAATAGAAGACCAGATTTCCCCACATGGCCCAAAGGATGTGTGTGCCGGCTCCCCTTGGGTGTGGGGCCATGGACCACAGGGCTGGGGCAGACCCATGGCTGTGGGGGG